CTCACAGTTGCAGGTATATAATCAAACATACAGGTACAGGCAGTTACACACAGGCACAGGCAGTCACACACATACACAGGTACTGGAAGGCAGTCACACACATACAGCAACACACACAAAGTTACAGACAGGCAGTCACACATACAATTACAGGCAGATAGACACACACAATTACAGGCAGACAGTTTCACACTCACACAATTAGAAAGTCACACACACAGTTAAAGGTAGACAGTAATACACACATGCGCTTGTATGTAGACAGTCACACACACACACACAGTTACAGGCAGACATACACACAGAGAGACACACACAATTTTAGGTAGACAGTCAAACACACAGTTACCTCGTTCCAGGGAGGAGTAGAGTCAGTGCAGTTCCTGGAGTCTGATAGTTGTTGGGAAAGTAGGGATTCCTACCTATGCAGCAGTTACCAGGCATCGGCTTCTGGGCGCTATTTGCCCCACCCCGCTACCTTGTTGTTTTCTTTGATAGTCCTGTGTAAAGAATTATAAAAATCTTGCACCCGGGTAGCCGGACTTGCTTTAGAACCCACTTCACAGCTAGGCATGTGTGAGCTATATTAGCCGTATGGCGCCTCCTGCTGCCATGGCGCCCTGTGCGGCTGCACAGCTCGCACACCCCAAAGGCCGGCTCTGGCTGGGTTCGATATTGTAATCGACTGTTAGGGCTGTTGCGCCAGGAGTTGAAGAGGAGCTGACCGAGAAAGATGTTGGGATCAATGAGGGATTGGTTCAGGTAAGTAAACTCACCTTTACCCCCTCCCTCCCTTTGTGTTTTAAAAATATACTAAGACAACATAAGTAATATTTTGCGTTTGTATTTTCCATGCTATATACACAACTGTGTCATAACCTGTGTTTCTTCGGCATCTTGTTTTCAAAAAACTGACCCAAGTTTATCTATGTAGGTAAATGAGGAAGACAGCATCCTGAGACTTTACAACTTGGATTCACGATTACCTATGACGAAGGAATCGCAGGCCCATTCCGTCATGTGCTGTTAATGCTATTGGTACACATTTCCCAGACAATGCATATGTCAGTGTTATTAAACTTCACGATTATAATGCCATTGATATGGCTTATAATCTTTATCTATGCATTTTATTACCAAGTTTGCATTGTTAATATTCAGCAAGAATTTATATATTTTATGAAAATAAAGTTCATTACCGACATTTCTCCTTTTCAACCTCAGTATTGTATATTGTGAGTTCTTTGGGTTTTTTGTGTGGTTATTATTATTTTTTTTTTAAGAATACACATTTTCTTCCAATTTTGTTTGTGTATCTACAGTGACATCTGTATCACGGTAAGTGTTTCAACGTGTACAATGTATATTGTGAATGGTTAGGCGGCACTGTCAATGTCTGTGGACTTTGCCGAATTCACAAAATCCCCAGACAGTGACATTGCTGATACTCGTACGGTGGCTGTGGGGGGTAGGAAAGATGAGAATGACTTAATTGAACCTGTCCCATGTAGGTGCCATCATCTTGATTGTACAGCTCCCCTTCATCCCCTAGTGTTTCATCGTCAGGAGCAGACATCACTGCTGTACTCTTGCGCATGCATGAAAGTGCATCAGTAAGGTCTATGGAGGATCCCACAACATCATCGGATCCTCCATAGACACACTCAATTCTCTGCAGCCATCACTGGTAACGACTGTCAGGATTGACTCTTAGACCCCACCTTAAAGGATCACTCAAGGCACCCAGACCACTTCAGCTTAATGAAGTGGTCTGGGTGCCAGGTCCAGCTAGGATTAACCCATTCTTTTATAAACATAGCAGTTTCAGAGAAACTGCTATGTTTATGAATGGGTTAAGCCTTCCTTAGCTGCCGTCTCATTGACAGCTTTAGGCGCGTGCTTCTCACTGTGAGAGCACGCAGCGTCCATAGGAAAGCATTGTGAATGCTTTCCTATCGGGCTGAATGCGCCACAGCTCTTGCCGCTTGCGCATTCAGCCGACGGGGAGGAACGGAGGCAGAGAGCTCCCCGCCCAGCGCTGGAAAAAGGTAAGTTTTTACCCCTTTCCCCCTTCCAGAGCCAGGCGGGAGGGGACCCTGAGGGTGGGGGCACCCTCAGGGCACTATAGTGCCAGGAAAACGAGTGTTTTCCTGGCACTATAGTGGTCCTTTAAGTATAAGTATAAGGAAGTCAGACAGAGAGAAATTAGAACCTGCTTTGTCTCTGTATATATCTTAACTAGGGTTGTAATTTATCTCTCTGAAGTTCCAGCACAGTCAAAATGAGTATTTCAAAAAGATTCAACCTGTATGAAATACTGATTTTTCAGGGGTTGTTGACAGTGCCGCTATAGGCGTCAATTACAATGATGGCATTTGCAGAATGCAATGATTTCTCTCTTGAGAAACCATGATCAATTTTGAATGAGGCCCACTTGTAGTCTCTAACACAATTGTGAATTATTGCATTTTGCAAACTCTGCTGTTAAATTTCCCCTTGTGGGTTTGTTGCAAATGTTAGGATTTATTTTTTTCAAACACAATAAAAGATACAAATTAAAGTAATAAGCGAACACTAAACAAACCCAGGAAACATGTTTACATTTCTAAGTTTAAACTTTATTAATAGCATAAAACTTAATTATTATACATTTGCTGGTACAATGATTTTTGGCAACACAGGAAAAGATGCATATTGCCGCTCCCCACCCCACGTTTAACACTCTTCACCCCCCGATTGTATGGCTCCGTCATAGCTATTGTGGGCGCTGTAACAGAACCTTCTATAGAGGATAGCGGACCAGTCTCTTGTCTAGAGGCAGTATTGGTACAGCAATATAAACATTGCCATTTCCCAAAAACAGCAATGTTTTACATTGTAGGACTAAGGGGACAGGGCCATTGCAATGAGCTGAAGTGGTCTGGCTGCCCATAGTGTCCCTTTTAATGTGTGTAACAGATCAGAAATAGTTGGTCCATGGTAAATATAGACTATAAAAAGATACATTTATTACAAGAGAAAACAAATATATAAATAATACAGGTACATATAGAAATACTTGTTTTATAGGAATTAAAAGATAAAACCATGTCCTGCTCATTAGGACTTATTGAGGTGATCTTTCCGTACCTCAGTTTATCTGGTGATGAAGAAGATGCGCCAGCTGCTGTTACCTGCACTGACTATCAGGCTAAGAATGTATGTCTGTCACTCAGTCACACAATGTTATCTTTTTGTGAATGTTCATGAAAACATGAAGGTGGAGGAGGCAGTAAGTTGACACCATAATGAAAAGATTTCTAGGGAGGCAGACCCTTTAGAGCTGTTCTAGAACACCCTTTGATTGTGTCATGTAGGAACAGGGAATAGTCACTTAGATGGCTACTAGAGGTCCTTTCTGGGTCAGTGCTGCACACTGTGCAGCACTGACATTCAGTGTCTCCATCCTCTGCTTTCCCCATAGAGATGCATTTATTCAATTCATCTCTATGAGGAGATATTTATTAGCCAGTACGCCGTTTGGTGCCATGCCTCACTTTGGCTAAGATCGTTAATTGTGATGATGTCAGCCAAGGTGGCATATTGGGGACGGGGCCAGTGCTGGCAGACCCACGCAGCGCTGGAATAAAGGCGAGTTTTTACCCTATTTAGTAATAGCAAGGGGAAGCCGGCCACATAAATAGTGTTTTTAACACTAAAGGATAAAGAATACACGTCTGTATTCCTGACCCTACAATGTTCCTTTAATGTTTAATCACTGATTGTGTTGGAGGCACCAATAAATATAAGCTTAATTTTATTGATAATTTACATTTTTATTCCTGTGAGTGGGTGTGTAGGCAGGGCCCAGTGCACTGCTTTGCCTGGGGGCCTATAATGCTGGTAAGATGGCCCCACGCATCCCTCCATGTCCTATCAGTGCCTCTATATCATTTTTCTTAGTAAAGCTTTGAAACAGTACAGCAGAGAGCTAGCTAGAAGGGCCTGCTCTCCGCTGTGCTTAGGGTTGACACCTGGCCGGTATTTGATACCAACAAATAAGTCACAGCATGTCCTGCCCCCTCCACTGATACAGTCTGCATGGGAGGAGTGGGAGAAGCAGGAGCTACAGGTCAAGAAAAAGAAAGCATGGCTGCAGGACATGATTTCTGAGAGTAGGTAAGTGTGTGTATTCAGCAATATGTGTGTATATTCAGCAGTCTGTGTGGGTGTATTCAGTAGCGTGCAGGGCCGGACTGGCCCACAGGGATACCGGGAAATTTCCCGGTGGGCCGCGGCACCTGGGGGCCGGCCGCGTTCCTGGGCCGGCCCTTTAAAAACTGCAGCCGCCC